TACGCACCCGGTTACCGTGTATGTGACATTGAGTCTAGTCTACACGCCCGGTTGCCAGTTACCGTGTACATAGACACTGAGGCTACGTGCCCGGTTTACGTGTACGTAGACCCTGAAGCGGCTACGTGCCCGGTTACCGTGTAAGATACTCCGAAGTAAAAATTTACCCTTTGCCGTCTACACAGTACAGCAAAACGATATGTTGTTTGTAGATCTAGATATCTACTTCCAGTCGTGAGTTCGATGAGTACTACAGTGAGACTTGGCTATTGTGAGACGTGACAGCAGTGTGTTGTTTTGTGTTCGTTCACTGACGTACGGATGACGGATCCGGACAACTGATGTGTCCTGTAGGGTTGCCAGCTTTTAAAGGTGGTCTACGAGAACAGAAGAAGCGTGTCACTTCAAAAGTTGACACACCCTATAGTCTGGGGCTATAGGTTGATTTAAAACCATGATACAAGACATTTAGCATAAATATTGCTTCGTTATGTTACAAATACCAAAAATGAAAAAAACAATTTACCTTTATAATGAATATCATGGGGTGCCTGTCGTATTATAAATTGACATAAAAGCCGCCAAATTGGCATTGTAAAATTATCGTCTAGTTTCGTTTTTTTGACATCCAGATTTTACTTTCCCTTGAACGAATTTTAACCTACTTAGTTTTGCCAAATTTCAGTTTCAAGTTTTTGTTATTTAGAATTAAACTGTGAATCGTTTCTAAATAAATCAAGTATCAACACAAAAGAATAAAATTCACACTATGCAGGCAATGTGCCCATGAACTGCTCAAACCGCAATTTCTCATGAATCAAATTTTAATATTCTTTTGGCAACATCAAAGAAATCATGGCCAGACTTCCTGTCACTTGTCCGGAACAGGAAACGCTTTGAGCTTACCTTGGCAATGGCCCCCGTATTTATGTAAAGGTCGAAGTTGCAAAACAGAACACAGCAGACTGGTAGTCTCTTTACACAACTTATCGAAGCAGCCTTGCCGACAGACATTGCAACAAAGATAGTCATGGCTGGAATAGCACGTATTGCTCCAAGCTTGTCAGCCTCGATTTGTGAGTGCCTGTTTTTTCAGTGTCTCTGTCTCTTCTTCAGTATTCCGAATTCGTGTCTTGATTTCTTGATTGATAATAATAATAATAATAATTATAAAATGATGATTTTGAATGAATTGTCCCTGCCTTTAAGTTTTAGGCTTTTAGATCTCTCTCTCTCTCTCTCTCTCTCTCTCTCTCTCTCTCTCTCTCTCTCTCTCTCTCTCTCTCCCCCTCTTTACAAAATAGTTACGAATTTTTTAATCAATTAATTTTTGGGCCACCTCTATTCTCACCCCGAGTGAGAATAGTGCAGGCGAGTCTTGTGGCTATTCTCACCCGGTACGCGTTCACCAAATTTTGCGTTCACCCTAAACCACATTAATTCTAGATCTAGAGCCTATGTACGGCATACCGTCACCTTAGTGTTTTGTGATGACTATTTCCGGAAGTGAACTTTTGTATTACCATAACTTCGGCTCTTTCAAAAACATTGACCCAAAATTTCGTTTTGTTGAGAGGCCAGCCTTTCCTGTAGGTGTGAGGTGAAGATTTTAGTCAGATAGTGTATAAAGAAGACCCCTAACCGAGACTTGACACATGTCCTGACATGTACCCCATATCGTCACGTGTCGGGTTTTCTGTCATGGTATGTACCCCATACCGTCACCCACTACACCCCATACCATCACACCTAAATTGAAGCACAACTAGGCGTTTGAAAAAAAGAAAGAAGGAAAGACGAACGCCTTTTGTACAGTGGGCCTAAGAGTACTAAGACAGAACTAATGTTTATTGACATACTAAAAAGAACAACCACCAAAACAGACACACATACATTTTACTCACACATAGATCTAGGTACATGAATGTTTCATTTTACTCTTCCAGACATATCACAAACCCATATGAACATCTCCCTCACACACAGGTACATGAAGGCTTCATTTTACTCTTCCTCACATATCACAACAAACTCACTTGAACATCTTTTACTCACACACAAGCTCTTGAATGCTTCATTTTACTCTTACACACATATCACAAACTCATATGAACATCTTCCTCACACAAAGGTACATGAATGCTTCATTTTACTCTTCCCCACATATATCACAACAAACTCACTTGAACCAGATTCGTTTAAAATCGCTCTTGTAAAACCGTTGCTAAAGAAGCAAAACTTAGATCAGAATGTCTTAAAGAACTATAGACCTGTTTCAAATCTACCTTTTTTGTCTAAAATCCTTGAAAAGGTTGTCCCCGAGCAGCTTCGTCATCACTTACAAGAAAACAATCTGTTAGAGCCATTCCAGTCTGCCTATCGAGCTAACCACAGCACAGAAACAGCACTTCTTAAAGTCATGATCTCGAATGACATGCTTACTGATTGTGATTCAGGAAAAGTTGTTTTGCTGAGCCTTTTAGATCTATCAGCAGCTTTTGATACATATTGACCATCACATTTTATTGAAGCGATTAGAAGTGTCTTTTGGAATATCCGGGACTGCCCTTAGCTGGTTTTCTTCTTACCTGTCAAACCGTTACCAATCTGTTTTTATTAAAGGGCTTAAGTCATCAGATCATGCTCTTAAGTATGGGGTCCCCCAGGGCTCAGTCCTCGGTCCAGTTTTGTTCACCATTTATACTCCACCACTTGTCAAGTAAATAGTTAAATGTGACTTAAAATACCATTTCTATGCTGATGATACCCAAATTTATGGTTCAACATTGTTTACCAACTTATTGCCTTAGTGAAAAACCGGATGAACAAATATAAATTGATGTTAAATGATGATAAAAGAGAAGTCATTCTGGCAGGCAATGCAAAGTCTGTTAAAGAGGTTGACCATGATCACATTAAAATTGGTGATGCAAAAATTTTATTTTCAAGAAAAGTTAAGAATCTTGGAATCTATTTTGATTCTTATTTGTCAATGTCGGCTGAGGTAAATCATCTGATCAGCTGCATGTATTTAGAAATAAGAAAAATTAATAAAATACGTCATCTGATCAATACCAAGTATACTGCTTTACTAGTAACTAGCTTAATTTTATCTTAACTCGATTATTGTAACTCCTTGTTATCAGGAATATCACTGGAGAAATTTAAAAAACTTCAAACTGTCCAAAACAATGCAGCACGTTTAGTTTTACGGAAAAGAAAGCGAGACTCTGCTAAACCTCTTTTACGAACTTTGCATTGGCTTCCTGTTGAGAAAAGGATTGTGTACAAGTTGGCCACCATATGTCACAAATGTTTGAATGATAATGCACCATCATATTTATCAAATCTGTTAAGACTGTACATTCCAACTCGCAGTTTAAGGTCATCAGCTGACAAAAAGAAATTTATTTTACCATCTATGAAACTTAAAACAATGGGTGAAAGGGCATTTGAATACCAAGGCCCCAAGATCTGGAATGCTTTACCAAGTACGTTGAGAGAAATCAAATCTTTTGATTCATTCAAAGGTCAGCTGAAGTCGTTTCTGTTTTTAAATTAATAAGATGAATATTTGGAATAATTTTCTTTAGTCGGGAACACAATGTTTCATGTTACTGCTGTATGTTGTACTGTATTGTAAAGCGCTCAGAGCCTGTGTACTTTATTAGGGGTTGAGCGCTATATAAATGTCATTTATTATTATTATTATTAACATCTTTTACTCACACACAAGTACTTGAATGCTTCATTTTACTCTTCCAACATGTATCACAACAAACTCACATGAACATCTTACTCGCACACATACATGAATTTCCCTGTTTTTTCTTCTTCTTCTTCCCTGTTCTCTGCTTCTCCAACTTCGTTACTTTTTCTCCTCTTTTCTCTTCTTCCTTCTCCACCCTTTTCTCTCCCTTTCTCTCTTCCTCTTTTCCACTTCTTCCTTTTTCTTTTCTTCTTCCAATTTCTTCGCCTCCTCCCATGCTTTGTACTTTGCCCGTAAGACATGTATGTAGGGGTCTTAGCCCGCTTCTCTGTGTTGAAACCTTAGATAGTTCCAGCTTGCTGGTATGGGCAGGTTGACGACGAGGGGGCAGGAATGAGTTGATTTTACAAATCAAGGTATTTTTTGTATGCCCCCTCGTTTTCCTTAGGTTCGATTTTGTGCCAATGGCAACGGCGGACCCAATGCATGTCTGATGCCATCCATCCAGTGGCAATGGCGTGATCAATTAGACTGTCAAGGACAAAGCAAAAGTGTTGTCCTGAGGCAGTTTTTGGGGGGCTTGGGGTGTCACCAGAGTTTCATCTTCCAATGGTCTCAATGCCTGCTCAGGTAGACAATAGACATAGTCCTGGTTGTCCACAGGATCCTGAGCTGGGGTCAAAACCAAAGGTAGCTGAAACTCTGCTGCAGGATCCAGGAAGTCCTCGGAGGTACATTCGATCCCCGAGAATTCCAGACCTGTGGTCGAAAAGTCTAGGGCATCAACTGACCACTCACAACTAGAGACAAGGGCAGTTGGGGGAGGGCCAGCAAGTTTTTCTTCTGAAACAGAAGCAGTAGGAGCAGGAACAATATCACAACATGTGGAAACAGTGGCTGGAAGAACATCATCACAACATGTGTATACATTGGACAGAGGAACATCATCATCATCATTACATACAACGGGATAGAGTTTCCTTCATATAAATTTGTTTCAAACATTAAAAAAGAACAATCTAAAGTCGCTCATTTTCTAATGAATCCGTGTCTAAATAGATCTATCTAGATCTATATCAAATCATAGAAACTAAAAAATCTAAAGTACTAAGATGCCATCCGTAGTCCGTCAAGAAATAGGGTGACCTTATTTAGGCCTAAATAAGCAAAAAAAAAACTCCCTTACCTTATTTAGGCCATATGTGGCCTGAATAAGCACTCCCCAAGAAATAACTATTTTTCAAGTCACGCACCATGTAAAAAATACGGTGACGGTATGGGGTACATCCATTAAAAAATTGTACCCCATATGGTCACCCCCCCTACGGGCGCCAATTGTTACAACAAAGAGCAGCGAATGGTTTGTGGCGGTAACTAGACACCTTATAAACTGAATAAAAATGCGAAACGAATCCTGCGGGTACGATTGTAGAACCAATAGCTTATTTCCAAAGATGTATTGCGCATCTGCAAGCCGTAATGGCTGAACGCGGTTCTTACATTTGGAGATGAAATGGACCATTTCTGCTCACACAGGTGTCTGATTCTGCTCAAAATTGTTGAACTTGAAAACAAAACAATGTTGAACGGAATTGGTTAGCAGACAGCATTCCAGATTATCGCATAATTGTCTGGTTGTCCAATTTTAGGCCAAATGCGTGCCAAGTGACGGTATGCCGTACATAGGCTATAGATCTACACTGTGATAACAGAAAAATTGTAGAATTCTGTGCCGTGTACAAACGTTCCATTACAACTGTAGCCTACTAAAAGCGTACAATTTTGTCTGTGGGCAGTGGAGAGAGAAAGAGGAGTAGCGCGAGAATTTCCGGGCAAAAAAAAATGCCGACCCGCGTAGTTCGGCTCGATTCGAAAAGTTAAATAGCCGTAGCATCTTTGTAGACAACCAAATTAATTTACGTTTGTGTTTTAACATCATTTTTTAACTTTGTTTTGGTCAATTTGATCGTCCACACCGATAGACAGTATTCAGAAAGAGACAGAGAGAGAGAGAAGAGGGGAGGAGTTGATCTTGCGAGAACTTCCGGGCGGGTGAGAATAGCCACTTTCTAATTTTTGGTACACTCATTATGGGACGTTCTTTGGTGAGTTTTGAGACAATATGACAATATTTGTCATAACTCGCTCATTTCTCTGAGTATTTAAATGAAACTTGGCAACCCAGTACATTTTCTAGTGCAGAATCTAGGCTTGCTTTCAGATTTTTCATAGTATAGCTATCTTTCTTTTACTTTTTGAGTTCTGTTATGAAGACGTTTTTATAGAGGTAAAAATGTGGCGGTTTTCTGTGCGTTTTGAGACAATATTTGTCATAGCTCGCCTATTTCTTGGAGTATGTAAATGAAA